ATAAAAGCTTTAAAGTGGGACCCACCAAGAAATTTGTTCCAAACTCCACAGCTGTCCTCAGTGCTTCTTTGTACCTCTTGATAAGTAAAGATTTTCTTAGTTGGAAAGAGTTTAAAAATTATCAGGGATGGTTGTTGCTGTTGTTTTTTTAGCTCTAATTAAATGAAGGCAGGGAAGCACCAGTAAATAAGCAGTGGGAGGAAATAAGGAATTCTCATTGTTTCTGAGGAAACCTTTTTAAATGGGCAAGAGCTTTAGCAGGCTCTTTTACTGCTCTCTGCTTATCCTGAACAGTTATAGCTCACTAGGCTGAAACTGGAGTACCAGAGAGAGAAGTGGAAAGTTATCCAAAACTGCTGGCTTGTTTAATAGTAATATATACATTATTGTTAGTCATTCCATGGCATTGGATCCTGCAGCTACATTTCAGTTAAGTGTTCTTCCATGGGCATGTTCTCTTGTTTCTTTTTTGGCAGTAGTGTATCTTTCTAACAGTATTTTAGTGCTTAGATGGCAAGCTACATTTTATCCATATAATGTTTAATTTAATAAGGCAAAATGTGATTATTTGGGTTAATTAGAGCATGTAAGAACTCTGTGTGTATGCACTTTTGATACTCACTTTTAAACACGTGCTTGTATATATTGATTTATAAATATTTGAGGTATATTTATGCAAATTTGATATACTAGCAATGCAAGGCATTATAGATCATTTGCAAGAGTGTTACAGTGTGAATTCACATTTAGGCAGTGAGCAGCATTCATTAAATGTCCGTGCTTCAGCTGTGTGCTTGCAGGGTGGTATTTTTTCCTCTAAGGCTTAGCTATTAAATCCACTGTAAAATACTGCAGAGTTGTACCTCAGCCTTTTTAAGTGATCACTTGACTCTGGTGACTGTTTGGTATGGAAGCCATAGTCAAAATATGTCTATTTAAAACAGATGTAGTCATTAGGAGGCCCTCCAAACCGTGCTGCTCAGCTTCTTCCAAGTCAAACTTCTTCTAGGTCAAAGCATCTCCTAGGCAGGTTCAGAAAGGGATGATTATCCCCATTTCCCCACATGTCAAGTGTAACCACACTGCTGCATTGACAAGGGGCTAGTGCCATAAAAATAGGACTCATTACTTAGTTATCAGACAAGTCTGTTGCCATCCATGCTCCTCATTCTGTCTCACTCGTGCTATTTAAATGTGGAGCTAAAAATAAATATTAGTCCTTGCTTATCAACAGGCACGGTAAGGAATTTTACTGCCCCAAATGCTGCCCAGGGTTAGCTTTGGATGGCTGTTCGTTGCACCACATGGCAACAGCCTGGACAGAATGCCACAGGGAAGGTCCTTGGGGCTTCTGTGATCCCAGAGGAGCTGAGTGCCAGTGCCCAGGGTGAATTTAACCATGGCATGATGAGCAGGAGGAGTGGGCTGTAATAATCTGAGAGAGAGAAAGAGCAGAGCCTGAGCAGGGCCTTGCCAGCAGCAGAAAAGATTGCTTTCCATGCTGCCCCAACCATGACCTCGGGATAGGGATTTCTGACTGACCCTGTGCCATGAAGCATTAAAAACGCAACAAAATGATCCACTGGGCACTCACTTCTTGACCTCCCTGTGAGCACAGAAGCTTTTCCAGCTCTCACTGAGAGAATGATATCATTTCTGTAGTTATCTTTACTGCTTTCAGACTGAGTTTCTCACCTGCTTAAAGAGAGCTGTGGCAACCACTACCATTTCTTCCAGTTATTCTCTTGTTTTAGTCCTTGCACTTCTGTCATTTGCTGATGGGCCAGAATAATGTGAAATTACCCCTACAACATTTCAGTTGTCTTTTCCTAATTTGTCATTTTGTTCAGACATCCAACACACTCTTTAGGACTAGGGGAGTTGCTGCCATTGTGTACAGAGAGTAGACAGAAAAGGGATGGCTTTTCATGGGGCAAGGACTTGGTGGTCTACAAGCGCAAACTCTCCTGGTCTCTCTGACCCTGCCACAGAAATCATCCCCTTCTCTAAGTGCCTGGCATGACAAGGGAACAAAGGCAGTAACTGTGGGTTTGGATATAGGTCTGGGTAGAGTTGAGCAGTCTTCCCAAAGCACCTCTTTGAAAAAAGTTCTGCATGATGCAAACAGGTGCTGCCACCTGCCAACAGGTGGTACAGGTGTGTTCTGGTGCTACAGGCCAAGGTCTGGAGAGCATTTCCCATCACCAAGTAAAGCAAACTGGGTCTTGAAGCCAAAGCTACCACTGCAGAAGAGGTTGTGCATGGACCCACACACTGCAGAAGAGGTTCAGTGGTGAGGCAGTTTGGGTTGCACCCCTGTATTGACTCCAGAGTTTGTCAGCATCACCCTGCTGCTTGCATGCTGCCCACATTACAGTTATTCCGTGCTGCTGTAGTGTGGAACATTGTGATCAGCCTCTGGATGCTCCTAAATTAAGGCAGATCATCTTTGCCTCCCAAGAAACCTCCAGAACCCAGCTGCAGCCATAAAGCTGCTATCAAATGCAAGCTGGATGCAGTTCAGAATTGGGGCCAATATTTTTAACAGCATGAAATTTTGTTGTAGGCCCTCTGGAAGGATTCTGTACATGAAAAGTTGAACTGGAGCAAAATCAAGACTTGGAGTCCCCTGTGTGGAAAAACAGGTGAAAAAAAGGTTAGCTATGTTTGAGAAGGGGGATGCATCTCTCATCTGTATTACAGATAGAGTCTGATGGCATTTATTGGGGAGAGGTGTATCTTTCTTTACTTATGTTCACAAATGCATTCTAATGCCATGACCTCTTTTGTCTGAGTTGGCATCAGCAGAACATACCAACCATACCAATCTCATCAACATAATCAGAAAATAAGTTGATATTTTACAATAGTAATTAAATCCTAAGCTCTACCCGCTTTGTAAGGGCCTGAACTTCTACTTGTACTTTCATACTGCCACTGGTGGCTTTTTGTTTGCATTACAGCAGCCTGAGAGCAAACGAAAGGCAAGATCCAAGATAGGAAGGCAAATTGGTTTTGCAAACATGGCAAAGAAAGTGTGTGAAATCAAATGCCAATATTAATGCAAGACATCTGCTCTCTGTTCCAGTTCTGAGCGAAGTAATCCAGTCCTAATTATACACTGCTGTGTCCTCTACCAGCTAAGGAGAATGGTGCAGCCATTCTTAGTACTGGTGTATAAATTTCTTCTTGGATCTGATAGATACATTAGATGCAGGGGAGGATTTTCATTTTTTGACTGTCAGTTGCTTTGGGTAGCACAAAGAGAGGGGAGGAAAAAGGTTGCAGCAGGAAAAGATCAAAATCTTCCAGAAAGGACTTTGCTCCTAGAATAAAAATTTTTCTTAGAGAACTTTCCCTGCAGACCTCAATCAATACTATTCTCATCTGAGTGCACATATTATTCATTAAGAAATATTGGCAAGATGTGCACTATAGTGTATGCCTTCATTAGAGCCTCCACCTGCCTGCTTTTATCAGAACATCTTCCCTAACTTTCATCTTCATGGAACCTGTTTCTGTCTTTGGATTCAGAGAGAAATCTTGTAATTTCACAGCATGGATTTTTTTTTAAAACAAACAGACACCAAAATATTCATCTCTCTGGTTTTTGTATGTGTTTCCTCATCTCACATGTTAATGAATCAAGATTATCACCATTAGATTCACACTGAACTGGATGCTGATGAATTCAAGTGCAAAACAGCCCAGTGCAACAGACCCTCCCTAACATGGGGATAGCTGGAATTCCTCTGTTGTGTGTTTGGCTGCCACACCATATCCTTTGTGTGCACCTACAGCTCCTGTGCCAGCAGCCCTTTTCCTATGGGCTCCACATTTTTAGATGATGTTATGAAGACCTGACAACTGTCATCCATGCAGGTAGAGGCAGAGGGAGCCACAAAACATACGGGACACTGGCAGTGTCTTAGGGTATTGTTATCACAAAGCAACATGAGCCTGACGTTGCATTTTGTCTTTTCAATTCATCCATCTCCAACTATTTGGTGTCAATTTTGCCTGGTCTCTTTAGTGCAAGGCAGTGAAGAAAGAAGCTATCTTGCTGAAGAAGGGCCCTGGGATTTTTGGACAATATGCTGTGGTCTAGCTCCATGACTGGGACCCCTGTGCGCTGCTGCAGTTTAAAGAAGAGCTGATAGTAAGAGATGATGAAAAGGCAGCTGCACGGCTCTGTCTCTGTTCACCCATCCCACATTTGATTAGTCTCTGCTTGACATAAGGCTGGGAGCAATAAGCTCTGATCATAACAGAGTATGTGGCAACAAGCCCGAGAGCTCCACGTGTCACTCCAGAACCAGACACTGTCTCACTGGATTCCTCCAGAAACAACTGAGGCAGATGCAGGGATGCCAGATTTGTCTTCCAGGTCTATCTACTCCTATCTACTCTACCAAGGTGAGGAGTAAAAGGCAGGACTATCTGCAGAACACTGCAGCAGCAGCAATGGACTTTGAAGTAGAGAAGAATATACAGAAAAGTCAATTATTGATCCAAATGAAAGCAAGGGGCGTTATGAAAACACTGTCACTAGAGTTTATTCATAAGTTTGGAGGTGTCTTTTTGCTGCGATACGTGTGTTAAGGATTAAAGAAACTCTACACAGGCACTGTTGAAGAAGAGGTGGCAGAATCAGAGTCCATGTGTTGGTTTGCTCAGAAAGATTGGGCTAAAGGTGCATCCCTGAACTTTTGCTGAACTTCAGTTTGATACAGATTGAAATCTTACATCACTGTTGAGACCTGATGGACCATACAAGTGGAAGAACACATCTCACTTGAGCCTGGGAGAGTTTTGAGAGGTGGAAGGAGAAAGAAGGCTTCTATTGGGAAACCATCTCCTCTATTTATGCTTTTCCCAGGGAAATCCAGCCTGTCCCAGCTCCATGTCTGGGCCTCCTCTAGAGCCTTTCACTTGGGTCCTTAGACCCCTCCCTGCCTGTGTTGGTGCTGGGGAGATCTGCAGTGTGTCACACCCAACCTCACCCCCCAGCAGTTTGTACCCACTCACAAAACCTTCCTGATGCCAGTTTCTCATGTAGAAAGAAACTTCATGGATCCCATTGCAGCTGAGCTGTTCTGGACACGAGAGGTGCAGAATCTGCCCATTAAACTTCTTATGAAACAAGAAACAGTCCAAAAATTCACGTCTTGCTACTTTTATTTAAAAAAAAAAATCCTTTTAACTTTTTGCTATGGAGAGCAGCAGCACAACTTCTAAATAACTAATTTATCCACTGAAAATTTCTCTAAAAGGTCATTACAGATTGTAAAGCCTAATGGCTTAAAGTTGCAGCCTTATACCATAGTGGCAAAGAACTTATTCTCTGGAGGTTTTATTTTTGAAGCTTTCCCATTTTATTCTATCAAAGGAAATTCTGTATTTTTAATACACAGTTTTCTTTGTTAAGGGAGAGCCTATATTTATGAAAATATTTAACATTCATTTCACGTAAAACATAGTAACAGAATTGAGTGATTTATTTTCACAATGCATAGGCAGAGAAGTAGAGCAAGCCAGAGTTTAGAAATAATTGAGGTCTGTAGATCTCAGGTATGTATTTAAGTGGTCTTTTGAACTGCCACCCATGTTCTGTGTGAACATAACTTTTCAGAGCACTTGTGATTTTCCTCCTTTACAGGGCTGCTGAACTGTAGTATGAGGTCAGGCCCGTGGTCACTCTCTTCTGACACCAGCAAGGTAGGTGCAAGTGATTCTGAAATGGGTAAAAATAGAGATGTTTTGTAGCTAATTTAATACAGACCTGTGCAAATTGTCTCAGTTATTTGTGTGAATTCAAGAAATAAAACCCATGTGTCAAACTGGCAGATAAAAGTCTCATCTGCTGAGAAATCTGACTTTGAAAACAGCTGCTAAATTCTCCATGTGCAGAGTAGTCTTTGGTATGGCCTGGTGCTGCTTCACTGTGGGATTCTTACTGGCATACGTGACTTAATCACCTTCCTTTTTTATTTTGATTTTTTTTTTAATCCTGTCAGCTGAAAGATAAAATAAAAAAAAAACATATTAACCTCCCTGATGAAACTTTATAATTCCCAACACTGAAACATTAACCAAGTCCTTAATTAAGGGAGACTGAAAGTAGAAGAATGCTTTTATGTCATCAGCTGGTTTTTGCTCCAGTCATCTGCCTCATTCAAGCATAGGATAATATGAAACCTCACGGGTCTGCTAAAGGCTTGACTTAAGTATACTGTGGACTTAGTGATTTAATAAGAATGGGGCGTTGTTCTTAAGAAACTTCATTTTCTCTTGCTCGTGCTCAAGCAAAAAGGAAAAAAGTACGAGCAGCTGGTGAGCAGGAGCCTCAAGTTAGACCCAGAGGTCTGAGCCCAAGCTCTGGCTGCACAAAGGTGTGTTTATTCCTGTGTGCCTCTTCCCTCACGCACTAGGAATAGCAGGAGTTAGTATGAGACCAGAAACGTTCCTAGGCAGAGCACAACTGCTCCCTTTTCTCTGTAGTTTCTGCAGTATTGAGCAGGATGGCTTCTCAGAACTGCCTGGCCAGGGAGCGTGCGAGGCGCCATAACTGAATGAAAACCAGTGCACATCAGTGGTGAACTGGCACCTCAGCAATGGTGTTGTCTGGTCCTCCTCCAGCAGTGAGCTGTTTTAGTGCTTTGTTCCACAGAATGGAGGGCTGGGGAGCTGAGGCTTTTTCCCAGACACTGATCTGTGTCAAGTTTTCCCAGTAACTCATTATGGGGCCAGTTGCAGACACAAGTGCTTTTAAAAGGAGTAATCTAGCTGCTCTTCTCTAGTGTCAAGGTATTAAAAAAATAAGTGTGGTGAAATTCTTTGTATGAGACTTTTAATGTACTGGGTGAAGGAGGCTCAAAAATTACTGAAACTTGCTCAGTCCTCTGAAATAACTCTCTGAGCAGATATAATGGAAAGAAAACATAGGAAAATGCTTCACCACACTAGAAAAAATAATTTATGTAGAGTGAGGACTTTTATACTGGGATTTGTCTCTTCACCTTATTAAAGCTGTAAACCTAAAAATGTCCATGACTGTAACTGCAGGATTGCAGCAGATTGTTCAAACTGCAGGATGTGTGTTTGGGAATTAAATATTTTGGTGGTTTTGGCATTATTTTTCTCCCCTTGTGTGACGCTCTCTCATGTGCCTTCACAAGTGCAACATTCTCTCTTGATTTTTTCCTCCAGGCCTTTTTCATGCCCAGTGACCCCACTTTTCTTGGCTCAAGTGCAAACATCATTCCTGAAGAACGATACCAAAGTCAGCCTCTGTTTCCTCAGTTTCTTCCTATTCTACCCTTGGCATCCCAACAGTGACCTTGAGCTCCAGTGCATGCAGACAAACTTCTGCCACTCAGTAAGTCTGTGCTTAGATTAAACCACACCATCCCTGTGGCAAGCTCAGAATTAAGGCTCAAAAGTTGCATACCAAGATTTAGAAATTATGGCTTTGCACCCAAAAGGCTCCTTGGCCACAAT